ATTACCAAGTATATTGACAATGTTTCATGAGAGAAAGTGATTTGTAAAAGACAAAAATATGAGAAAATTAAATGATCTGAATTTGAACAAATAAAATAAAATGTTTCAGGAAAAAATAAAAAATAAACATTTCCATCTTGCAAAACAAAGCTTCAGCTAATATAGTTAATGCACATTAAAAAAAAATTGTGTTAAGTTAGATAACATCATACAAAAAATATTCAGAGTATTTTTGGAAACCCAACCTAGGGGTAAAAAAAAAAAAAAAGCAGTAGTATTATTGGTCACAATATGTTCTATATATAAAAAAATTATGAATAAGTGGATAAATCTTTTCAAAAAATCCTATTTGCTAAAATATATGCTACTAAGAAACATCTTTAAAAAAAGAAAATGTAAAATAATCAAAAGCATTTTTCTTAAAGTTATAAAAAATAGGACTTGAACTGTATAAAAAACTCATACTTAAAGAACATCATGGTTAGATTTAAAGAACTGTTCTGAATAATTTTTTTATCTCTAATTTTTTTTCTGTACTATATATAAACCACATCTCTATCAGTTTTCATTGACTTAAATATAAATTTTCCTTGATAAAAATGAATTTTTTTAATAAATAATAAATGCAACTATTATAATTTTGTTAATAAGTATAAAAAAAGTTCAATTAACCCTAAAAAGAACAATATGGTAGAGTACTTTTTCTTTTTTTTTCTTAAACTCTAATCAACTCTGAACTGGTTAAGCATCTCACCTCGAAGTGCCTTCTTTCAAATAAGCAATATGGCTCTCACTTCTCTAGGTCAACTGCTGATTTGTTGACTATTATTGTTGAAAAAGTCTATTAAGCTTTAAATAAGAATGGTAAGATAGGGCTGTTACTTTAGATATCTTGAAGGCATTTGACAGGGTTTGGCATATTAGTTTTCTTTACAAGTTAAACAGTTATGGTATTTCTGGACAAATTTTTTAACTGATTCAGTTTTTCTTATCAAATCATGAAATGAAAGTTTTTGCGGATGGCCACTTCTAGATCTTTTTGCATTAATGCAGGTGTCCTCAGGGCTCTATCCTTGGACCGACATTGTTCCTAATTTTTTCAACAGCCTTCTTCAACACATCATTTTTCAACTCGGTATCTATGCTGATAACAACTATTTACTCCTGTCTTAATAGTAAGTCTGATCTGTTCAACAAGGTCATGGCAGCTGATCTCAAAAATGACCTACATTGTGTTGTTAACTGGGGCAAAGATTGGCTTGTTAATTTTAAAACCTTCAAAACAAAACTTCTCTATTAATCGTCTGAGAGAACCCTTTCATGGCTAATGTTAACCTCCAGGAAAGTTACTCAATGTACCTTCCTGAGCTAATGTTTTCTGCTAACATGAAGTGGAAAGCTTATATAGAATCAATTGCTAGGTCTACTGCTAGGAAAGTTGGTTCTCTATGTTGTGCTAGACAATTTTTCTCGCTGTAATCGATCTTATATATTTATTAGTTGATCATTCCTCCATGTTTAGAATATTGCTGCTACATATGGTCTGGTATTCCTGCTATATATTTAGAGATCATTGATAAAATGCAAAGAAGAATTTACAATGTCATTGGTCCTAACCTGGCATCTAATGTAGCTTTCCTGTTCCTTTTCTATAAATACTTTCATGGTAGTTATTCTTATGAACTCTCGTCTATGGAACCTAGACTCTATGAGTTTAAACACAGTACTAGATTGGCAGTATAATCTCATTACCATAGAGTTTGAAATGGCTAGATGTAAGCATAAATTCTATGCTAACAGTTTCTTTGCTGGCACTTCATGCTTGTGGATCTCTCTCTGGTTTCTTGCTTTCCAGTAAAGTTTGATCTTCAAAAATATATATGCAATGTCAATTTATCTTCTTAATTTCTGTTCTTTTATTGTTCTCGCTCCTTAATAATATTTTTCTTATATTCTTTCACACCCAGTAACACCCTGCATGTTAGTGGCTTTGTTGCCTTGCTTGGGGTGAATTGAATTTAAAAAAAAAAAAGGAACAAATTAGTAAAACAGAAAAATTCTGTGTGTATGTATGTGTGCATATATACATACTCTCTCACGCAAACACACATTGTGTGTGCATTTTTTTTTCTTTACACTGCATGCTGATCATTCATACACTTTTATAATGGGTGTCTTTAAAGTTTTATAAAACAGTAGCATTATTTAACAAATTTATATAAATTAAAAATTATAAAAAAAAAAAAAAAAAATGATTATTTGCCTTTCAAAATAGAGATAATTTAGACATGGCTATCAGTAAACATATTAAATTGGTAAGACAAAAAATTACTTTTCAGTACTGCAATACTAATATAAATGTTAATTTATAATCTTTTATAAAATGATTTTTCACCAGCTAATATGAATTAGGAATATTTAACTTTTTGGACTGTATGCCAAAATGTCAACATTTACTCACAATTGTTAACATGATTAATAAAAGAATTCATAAAAAATTATTTGAAACTAATTATATCTGTATTTATTTTTCCTAAAAAGTCAGTTTTATCTTTCAATGGGACATTGCAATGGAAGGGGTATTTGGATACAGTTGGATACAACAATCTTTGAAGAAAGAAAAAAAGATGCTTTATTATGATGAAATAAGATTTAATATTTCAAATTTTGATATTAAAGAAGACAAAATTTGAAATCAGTGCATCATTGTCTGGTACATATCCACAGTATTGGATCTCACAATAAATTATTTACTAAGCATATCCAAGTTGATCTATTGAAGCATCATGCAAATGAAACACTAATTCTTATATCAAAACAATTTCTAAAGTAACACTTAAATATTAACCTAGTAAAATGAATATTTCAAAGCTCATTAAAAATAAATGCTTTCCTGTTTCAAATTTCTGTTATTTACAAAAGTAGGATCTGAAAATTACTAAAAAAATAATAATTAAGTATATCTTATTTTATCAACAGTAAGAAATTTTATAGTGACAAAAATTTAAAAATTATTCAATTTCAGGTAATTTTAAATCCAGGCATTTTCAAAATACATATTTACAAAAATATAAAACATACTGAAATATTATTATAAAATAAAGAACTAAAAATATTTATATCAACTTTAAAAAAAATAAACAATTATCAATTTCCCAGAGTAAAATGAACTAGAAATATACGTAAAGATAATTGTTTAAAATTTATCCTAAACAGAATCATTATTTAAATTTCATTATGAATTATGACAAAATACTTTTTATATTATTAAAGAGAATTCATTTTTTATTTTTCATTTTGAAAGCTTTACATAAAATTATCAATAACTGTAATTACAATTTTATCAAAAAAGTACATACAATTTGTTAAATATCTTATTTTAAAAAAGATTAATTCTGAGACATTAGTGATTACAATTTAAACTTTTTATTCTTCAATAGACACATAAGCTTTAACCAAATGCTGATTTTTTTATCATGTTAATAATTTCTGATCTTCTTATAGACAGACATTCACACATTTTGAACAATTTTAAAACTTAAAGTCAAAACTGTTGAAGTAAAATTACATGAAAAAAATGTTTTTGATATTCAAAATTTATTTTTTTTATAATGTTTTTAAAAATACCATAACAATAGCAGTTTGTTTTGTAAAATCTTTCATCACATTCATCTAAAACATTTTTTATATTTTTAGGAAAATGGTAACTTTTAATTAAAATTTAATTTAATCAAAACTTTAATAAATTAATTTTTAGTAAACCTTCACAGTATATTTTTATCCGTACTGGTAAATGCTATTTTCAGTTATTTTGCTCAATAAAAGTTGTTTATGATTGATAAAGAATTATTGATTTTATGCAACAAAATATTACTTATTCAGATGAATAAGTATAGCATTAAAGATAAATCTGCAAAAATTTTAAAAAGAATATTTTAGAACCCAGGGAAATGTTTTAAATAAAATTTGGTATATAAAATAAGTATACTGAACAATCAATTTAGCCTAAATCATGTGATATCAACAATAATATTTTCAGTGTTGCTTAAAACTGTTTTATTTTTGTATCATTTTCCATATTTAGATATTAAAAACACAATATTAAAATACTGAAAAATAATAAAAACAACTAACTTTACAAAAACTTTCAAGTGTTTTTAAAAAAGTCACATTAGCAATTACATTATAGATTCAATTTTTGTTCTCAAAAAAGACATACATTCAATTTATAATAATATATAAACAAATTCAATGCCAGAATCAGAGTACAGATTAAACAGATATATTTAGGAGCAAAATTACTGAATTTCTTACTTACAAGAAATCCAGTGGACATAGCAATGTATTCACTTCTAATCAAAAGTAATGATCTTTCATTAACTTTAATTTTATTTCTTATGTATGTTTATACACAGAGAATAAAAATTATCATAAAATAAATTAATATATTTATGGGTTTAGTAATCAATATACAATAAACAAATTTTAAAGAGAAAAAATATACAAGACAAACAGATGAGATTAATTGTTAGTATGTGGATGAAACCAGTAAATACTTCATAATTCACAGTTTAACAATGACATTTAAACGTGGCATTTAATCATTAATATAAAAAAAATACACCAAAGATATTGGTGATAGGTTAAGAGATTTTAATTTTCTCTCACACACATTCAGACAATACAATTAGATAAAAATTCTGAAATTATAACAGTATGTTTAAGTCAGGTAGAACTACAAAATTTACGTATTTACTTAAATGAAGACATTCTATATGGAAAACAGAATATGCTACAACAACAACAAAAAAAAAAACTTCAGTTATTAATTTCTTCTTGTATCAAAATAAAGAAGAGGATTCTAATCTTTTATAGGAAAAAGAACCAACACTAGCAAACACTAAATTATTGACAAAGATACAGCCAAGAATATTTCAGTATGACTAAAAGTGGCTAAAAATAATATAGGATTTCAACTATGTTAAACTATATTCACTTACATTTTGTATCTGGTCCATCAGGTGGTGTGGCAATCCCAAGCTCTTTCGAAGACATCCAGGCAGCAAAGCAATCTGATTCTTCCAGGTGAATTATCAGCAACTGACACGGAATTAAGAGGCTTTACTGTAGCAGTCCACACACATGAAGAATTACTGTCACCACAACACTTCATACAAACAACATCACTGTAACAGTCCATATACATATTCCCACAAAAAAAATTTACACAATTTTAGCTGTAACAGTTTATATGCGTGCACACACATACACACACACACACACTTATAAAGTAACAATGCATAAAATCTATCACTTCAATGCTGTCTAATGGTAGTTATAATAGGAGCTAATATCAAATGGCCTGCAGATAATAAAATTCTTTGTCAAAAAGAAAGAAAAACATAAATGGGTGAAGATTTCTAAAACTCCTAAAAACTCATTTTCTGATTTTAAAATGAAATTATCAGTTTTTTATGAGAATGATGATAAAGTTAGCAGGGTTTACAGAAAAATATTTTTAAATATTGGTGCACTCTGATAGTAAAGATAATAATTAAACAATATCATACAACACACAAATGCCAGAGAAGCAATAAAAGATAATGAGATTTGTATTAAGTAGATGCAATTGTTCAGTCAATATAAATTGGTATAATTTATTTTGACTACTGATGCAATAGTTTTTAAGTGAACCCTATTTTAACAACTTTGATTTTTACTGATTTGCATTTAAATCAAGACTTTCTTCGATACAAGTAGATTTTTCATTTGTTGTAAAAGGTTTTTAATGAATTCAAGAATTAAGTTTCTTAGAAAAAAAAATTACACTTGATTTATTTGTTTTTACTATTAACTTCTCCAGAAAGTACTTAAATTCTTGAAATAAATATCAGATTTCAAAAGAAAATAGTGTGCTGTGCGATATTGTTAAAGTGATTTTTTTCAAGATTTGAAAATAATTCATGAAATGTAAATTAAAAAAAAAAATCAGGGAGTACTTTTCAATATTGAAATAAAATTGGTGTTATTAAAAAAAAAACAGCAATGTGTAGTGTGCTCAGGAATTATTAGTAGTTGAGGTTATATAAAAACTGATATTAATAAATCAAAGAATTGAAATCGTATCTTCAGACAAGTTATGCTTCAATAAATGTACTGAGGACTTTTGGTTGAGTGGTTAACAAGCACTCAGCATGCATTCAATGAATGTAAACAACAAAACAAAGCTTACCCCTGTTTTTAAATCAACTGAGAACCAGTTTGGCACATATACCATTTTGAATCGCTTTTTAATCTCTTCCTCAAAATTAGCTTTTCCTAACTCTTCTACTTTTCTTGCCTGAAACAGATCAGATCAGATTTATATTAAATAAAAAATTACATTGTAAAGCAGATTCAGTGCTGAAGGTATTATTTATAGTGTTGAATTTTTTCAAAAATCTATTGTAAAGCAAAACCTTTTAAAGTTAAGGGAGGCAACTCTGTTATGAAATTAAATAATATTGCAAGAAAACGCAAGAAAGTGTACTGACAATTACAGTGTAATATTTGCAAAATATCTGAGTATTTGAATGAGTATCAAACTTTATGCCAGACATGCAACTCTCCAAATAAAGGATAAAATATTCTAGATTAATTATTTGAGCATTTTCGAAATTGTAACTTTTTAATTTTGCTAGTGTTAATAGATTTCTACAAGCTCACATTCTGCTCAGAAAGTTAAGACATTAACAAGCAATACGACCTACTTCATTGGCTTGCAAACTATTCTTACAAGCCATTGTTTGTAAATTTGATTCTCAAAAGATACTCCACAACTTTAGCATTTGATTAGACCAAGCCTAAGTTTGATGTAATGCATTCCACAAATGTGCTTAAGAGAATTCATTTGTCTCTCAAACTTTTTAATGTGCAATTTAATACAAAGTGTGCTTACTAACAATTTGCTTAAATTAACCACATTTGACAAGTAATTACTTACTGTTAAAACATCCCACAAGATGACATTATCATCTGTATCTTTTGTTAAAATGTGTCGTTTATCATTCAAAACACAATACTGACGTATGCTGGCACCACCTGTTATATTACAAAGAACATGTATTATTGAAAAAAAAAATTTAAGCAAAATTAAAATAACTAAATAAACCTAGTGATAAAATTCAATTATAAATTTAATTATAAAATCAAGAATTAAATTTTCTAAAAATATGATTTATTTATTTTAAATTATTGTTTTTTACTGTTATATATAACAATAGCATAAATTGTAAGTTAAAAAAAAACATATTTATACAAAATAGACAAAGGGAGATGGAGATAGGGTTCCAACAAGTAACAGTGAAGAACAAATGCACTTTTAATAAAATTCACTTTTAACAATCAAAAAGTGACATTTAGCATTTAAAAATTTATAGAAATATGAATATGATAAATGCACTAACTTCATTAAATTAACTACTTTCTTTATCCTATCAGAAGCTTTCAGAGTGCAACCATTATATCCTTCTATGGCAATAAAGATTCATTTCAAGATGAATTTTTCTTAAAACAAAATTAAAATCTATCTTGATATTAATTTCCATTTCTTACCATTTTTAGTCTTTCATGAGATTGTAGAGAAGAGACTTTGCCTAAAAAACAAAATCTTTCGCATCCATTTCTTCACTCTACTAACTTTTTTAATTGTTGAATACATTCTATTTGTAATAAGTAGTATACAAAAGCTTTTGTAAAGTATTTCACATCAAAATTTTAGATATACTACTAGAGTATTTTTTTTAATATCTGCTGATATAAATACTATGTGAAACATTTTCATTCATTTGTATTACTATTTACACCAAATACAGGAAAGATTTACCAATCAAAATAATACAAAGGATGTCCAAAAAGTCAGATACAAACATGAACTAATCCAACATGTTCATTTCAATATAAATACAACATGGTGTATCAGTACTACCATACTACCTTTCCACATATATATTTCAAAAGTACATGGTATCAAGTTATTGAAACTATCTTTGCACTTTGAAAACAAAAGCCTCAACTGTGTAAAACTGCTTCAGATAAAATGTCATTTGAGGGGACCAAACAGATGATAATCTACAAGAGCTATGTCAGCTTTATTCATTTTGTCCACTGTCTCACACAATCTGATTGCATTAACTGTCTTATCATTTAGTATGCAGTACCCAAGCAGTACACTCATAGCATTCCAGAACACAGTTCCCATCAATTTCTTCAATGACTCTTGAACATTTAATTTTTATTTTCAACACACACACACACAATGACAATAGATGTTTCCAAGACATGAAATCAACATTGGTGCTTTTATGTTATCATTTGTTTGGATCCTTCAAGTGACATATCCTGAACAATGTTTCATACAGTTGTGACCATTCTTGTAAAAGTGTAACGGTGGCTCCAGTCACTTGATGCCATTTTGTTTGAGGAGGTAGTTATGTGTTAATACACCAATTAGATAAGTGCATCAATCTCAATAGCAACTACAAGGAAAAATAATATGCTGCTGGTAACATAGGCACAATGTTTTATCTGTATAGTAATAAACATACTTGATTAGTAAATGTTGTAGCTTACTTTTTGTTTTGAATATAACTTATGTCAAGTTTACAGGGGAGTAAATGTACAATCTTTGAAAAATAATTTCCCACATTAACAGATATTCCCTAATATCTTGAATTTAAATAATGATAAAATATATTATACCTTTGATTGTAAAATCTGGTTGAGTGCATGCTGGGACAGGATTTTCATTATCATAATCTCCTGAGCACCTTGAATTTCGTGATTTAATTGGCTATAAATTAGACAAAATAAAATTTGAGCTATATGTATTAGACTAAAGATTATCCTTTATAAGAATATTAAAAGAACAATTATTAACTCAAAATGTATTATTTTATACTTTAAAATTAATTTAAAAATAAGAAATTTCAAAATAATCAGATTATTCTTCTGTAATATCATACAGTTTTGTTTAGACTACTAGCCTCACTTTGGTTGTTATCAAATTTTCTGATGCTTTATCCTTCAGCCTTCTTCAAGTGCTTATCATAGTTGGTAACAGTATGTAAATTTCAAATTAAACCTATTCAATCCTGTTAGCAATGAGTGCAAAAACATACCCATCCCCAAATTTATAGACAAATCATATAGATGTATGCTGGGATTTCTTCCTAACCAATAAAATGGACAACTTCTTAGTCTCATCCACCATATTTTTGTTCTTTGTCTTGAAGTCAAAATGCTACAATCATTCGACTGTATCCCTTTTGTGTGTTAACACCATTCTTACTTTGTGAACTTCTTGCCTTATCACTGGTGCTTTGCCTAATTTTGTTTTACATATAATTACTGTTTGTTTAGTATTATTTTGCCATTCTATTCTTTCTTTTGTTTACTGGAAACTTTGTCAATTCCATTTGTTGGGCATTTTTGCCAATTACACTTAGCCATGGCCAATTAGTCTACATAATTCATGAAATAAATTGTTCTCATCACACCATCCATGCTAGAGGATATCTTGTATCAGTTAATTCTATCTGGCTAATTCATACTTGTGATACTGCTTCTCTTCCACTGAACCAGAGACTGGACTCATGACCACCAGGTAACTGTTGAATCAACTAGGCCATATGTCCCATAGGACAATTTGGTGAGGGAAATTTTGAGCCTTAAACCTAATGTCATCTTTTCACCTAAACTAGAGTATATGACTTTTACACAGTGTAAATAGATGGTGAAATCTTTTAGTTTTAGGTGTAATGTTCTTTCTTTCCTAATTAAAAGGTTCATATATGGTGTTTATAATAACTAATGTATTAATAATCTAGCACACTAGGTTATTAGAACATAGCATTTGTGTTGATTCTTTCAATTGCCTTATTTTCCAACATTGTTCTCTATTATTCTGATTCCAATTTAATAAGGATTGTTAATGCACAATTTTCCTTTCATACATGAAAAATTATACTTGATTTCATTGTCTCCTTTCAGCTTATGGATTTCTGATGTTCTTCTGGACTTATTTTCAGTGTGTGGTTTGTTTTGTCTTTGTATTCCCTGCTACAACTGGATGGAATTGTATATACACAATTCTTAGACACATTCTCTACTCAAGAGAGATTTGTTTGGGTGAGGTGTTTCCAAAAAGTGTAAGTGCTTTTGAAGACTGTCATAATGTTTTATGTACTGCAGATCTTCTGAAACTTTTCTCTGATGTAGCAATAGAATTAACTTATTAAATATATCCTCTAGCATAGACAATAGAAGAACTATTTACCCCCATAAATTGAATAAAGGGTCTGGTTTGAAATTACTGAAAGGTTACAAACTACAACAGGCATCTGAAGAAGGCTGGATGGTACAATGATCAAAATGCTATGATAACAATCAAGATGAAGACAATAGTCTGAACTAATCAATGTATAATAATGATGATACTTCATTTAAAAAATTGATAAATGATAATTCTACTTATGCTATTATAAGCATATAATTCATATCATAAAAATATATAATTATATTTTGCAATTCTATTTTTATCCTTTACAAACATGAGAGCAAAGCAAAATTGATTATCTGACATGCTATATTAAAATATTAAAAACTGAAAAGAGTAAATTGAGATTCTTTTTCCACAACCTTTTCCCCACAAGGTTTGGCATTTAAAACAGTTTATTCCTAAAAATTTGAATATTGAAGAACTGAAGTTATCTCCCTGAATTAATAGGACTGAACTTCAAACATTAAAAATTTTAATAAGATATGGTAAAAACTTAAATGTTTTAATATTAAGTAAAATTAAAATGAAAATAAAAGGAAACTGGATAAAATTTTGTATGCCCTAAAACAAAATTCTCCTCTTAAATATGCTTGTAAATAAAACCTTCATATAAAGTTATGACTAATCAAAAATCCCTTTCCCCCCATAATTTTATGACCAGTAAAATTCAGTTCAGAATGATCAATTTAGCCTTAATAATTTATAAAGATATCAATGTTTTTAAGAATCTAACTATAAAAATTATTTTGCTTTATGCATAAAATGAAAAAATAGACAAGAAGAAACAAATAAGAATTAAAAATATGAAAAAGAATAATGGAGTTCCAAAAATGTTACATAAACAAAAGAGATCTTAATCTCAGAATATAATAATCATGTATTCATAAATACTAATAAAAACAAAATATCAACCTAATTATTAAATGGCATGATGCTCACTAGGTGGAATAATGAAAAAAAAAAAAAAAAAAGCCCAAGGAAAATCAATACAAGATCAAAATTGTTTGATTATCTTTTTTTTTATTCAATTTTTTTCTAGGTTTACTCAGAATGATGAATAAGAAGAGTTCAATGTTTATTTAATAAACAGAGAAATGAAACTCACCCAATTACGAATGGAAGAATCTGTGGTTGCTACCCACAATGATGGCTGCTGGTTTTCTGCTTGACAAAGTTCTAACTTTTAAAAAGAAAAAACATATTTGAAAACCATTAATTTCAAAATCATTATTTAAATTAGTTAAAATGCAATGAATATTGTATAAAATTATTACTAAAAACCTAAAATTACTTGAAATGAAAAAAGTCTCAAGTCACACATTTATAATCAGTAAAGGAAATAGGAAAAAAAAAAAAAAAAAAAAAAAAAAAAAAAAAAATCAAATATGAAGAATAAATAAATTTGTAACCATTTTATATTTTGCAATCTTTCTGATAACTCATTTAAGTTAAAACTAAATAATTTAAAAACCCTTGAAATGTAGCCCATTTCTTTTATAATACCTTTAACACAGGAGCTTTTTCTTCACATATTAATGTTCGATACTCTGGGTCTCTTATATCCGTGGCCCACACTCGTCTGTCCCTCCCAGCAGAGTAGACCACTGAAAATGAATCATTAGCCTGAAATTGAACAGAAATAACATTTCAAACAAAGATGAAACAAAAATAACAATTATAACAAACAAGAAAGAAATTACTTGATAGATTGATTATTTTCCTTATTAAAAGTGGCAACCTCTATGGACAGAATACTATGAAGTAATTACTCATGAAAATGAGAACTGAGCCTGAAATCCATTTGTTGGAAAGATATCAATTAACAGTGAGAGTTAATGGTGGTTACTAGCAGATGTGAATGGCAAGAATGAGTAACTATAAACTGACCTGTAAAGCCCACACTCCTTCATCATGAACCCGGAATGTAGCCACACACACCTGTTGCCCAAGTGACCATAACCGGATAGTGCCATCTGAGCTACCAGATAAACACTGAAATAAAAAAATTTTAATTTTAATTAAATTTAGGCACTGAAAAAAAACAAAAAAACAACAGTGATAAAATTTGCCTCATTCAAGAAAATTAAATTGGTTAAGTTTTTCAATTTAGGAAAATATTTAATAATTTAAAAATGTTTAAAAAATTTTGATTTAACTTGATGAAAAAAATATCTTCAGTACTTAGATCTTTAATTTAAACTGACTCATATCCAGTGGCAAACTTTGTTAGTATAACCAAAACAAACAGGAGTTAAACCAAACTGCCTGATCAGAGAATAATAGTTTGAAATCTTACTGCTAATATCTTTATGAAAATGCAAGTATGTTTTAATAACTTATACAAGATGTAGTTATATTTCAATTTTTTATTAACATTATTTGCTTAACATTAGTTAATTTTCAGTTATTGAAAATATTTAATATTTTAGCATTAATTTTTAATAAATTTATATGTTTACAATAGGATAGCAAAATAGTCACTTAATAGCATTTATAAAAGAAATTCTATTCAAAAACTCAATAATATTCATCCTTATACACAAGACATTTCTCAATGACACAAAAGAAATAAATTTGATATCTTAAATAATATGTTCAAAAAAAAAAAAAAAAATGAATCTGGAGATCAGAACTTACACATGCGCGCACGCACACACACACACACACACACACACACACACACACACACACACACACCTAAAATGTTCTTAAGCATTCTATGCCAAGAACTCCCTAGTGTTCAGATGGAAACATACATAAATATATTTCATATTTTAAATGCTTGAAAGAAATAAAACATTCTGAGGTACTTTCCTCAGCATATTCTAGAAAACATTTTGATTTAATTTTCTTAAGACTTTTATGGAAACTGACGACATTATAAGATAATTTTCTTATTTTAATTTGAAGTTCATAATTATATGAAACACAGAAATAAACTATTGAGAACTTTATTGACTGGAGCTATAATACAGGGATTAACCTGCAGGGCTTCTGTGCTACTGACAGCAAGTTTGATACTAATTAATCCTAAAATGCACATGGCTTTCTCCCAAACTTGGTTCAACTAATATTTTCTTTAAAACAGTATGCATTCATGGCAGCATAGTGTTGAGCACACAAAATTTGTAAAAGTGAATCTGATAATGAATTTGATTCTTTTGAACTTCAAAAATGTCATTTCATACCAAACTTCAAGTAAATCAGAACAAATATTGACTATAATACCAAAATTAGATGTATGCTATTAGCAACACATATCTGAACTTAATATTAAAAAAAAAAAAATAAATGATTCCTAAATGATCATTATAATAAATGTTGATATTCTGATAGGAAGACAAATCAAATCACAGACTGGTTGGAGTTTTGCACAATCCCTACATTATAAATCTTATAAATGCTAGACTTATGCTTGTTAATGGATCTACCAACCATTTTGTTGTCTGAAAAAGATAATTATGGGGTAGCGAACTGACCATGTTTTCACAAACTTTTTTCTGTCTACCAGTGTGGGATACTAGAAACAAGACTATACTCAAGATAACTGATGATGAAACAGAGCTCAAGTGAATTAGTTTCATGCCTTTCCTAAAATAATTAACTTGGTTTATAGATGCTATTTTTAAAGCTGATAACTTTCAACTTCCACTTTGCAATTCTGAGTATTGGACTAACTATAAACCAAAATAACTCTTTGCACTAGTTTGAAATCAACTTATTCTTTTAGTAAGTGAACATCTGATAACAAGTATTACCAAATGCTGAAAAAGTAAACCAAATCATTTTTTTATTTTTATAGTCTGATACTAACAACTGTGCTATAACTGCAAAGCACCATATTAAATAACAGAAATTATGTGTGTGTATATATACACAAGTGTTATTTTCCTCTCTTCTCACAAATGTTATAATAAAAATAAGAAAAATAAACAGCCATAGCATTAACCTGAAAATCATTTTTTCTTTCTGAAGTAGCTTTATAGTTTGAAGTGTAACCAACTTTGATACTACAGTATTTTCAAATCAAAACTTATTCTCATCCTTATTATTTTTATAGTTAAAATCTTACTCTTACACTTCACTTGGCTGACAAATGAGGGGATAAAAATTTAAATTCCAATTATATCATATAATGTCTAAATAAGACAACAGAAGTTATTGAGAAAATAAAATTGCATGGACTATTTAAGGTTATGATATTAAAAACAAAAACAAACTTTTCACAATTTTATATATGGTAAGAGAGAAAGAAAATAAGTATCAAAAGTTTGCTTTATACCTCTTTGCTTTTACAAAGACCTACATTAGTGCAGGTTTCCTCCACAATCCAAAATAGCATAAAGTGAAGAAGCAATTATCATTAATTTATATGGGAATTAAAAATTTGTGGGCATTCCCAGATCCCCAAAATAACATTCTTCTATATTTGTCTGCTTTGATGTCAAAAGTCAAGGTCTGTTGTTTGCTGTGGCTGATGTGGAGGTGTGAAATATGACAGTATGCTTGATTGCTTAGCCTTTTATGATCATACATTTTTGTTTTATATTGACACTAAAAACAACCTGTAAAAATGCCCTATACTGTCATAGCCTTTCATGTAATACTTTTCTGCAATCATTGCAGTATTGACAATCAAAATTAAATTTTCACACAAGGTTATTTTGGGTAATGTGAGAAAACTAAAAATTTTGGCATATGCAAAATAAAAGAATTATCAGTAATTATTTATTTTGTGCCAATTTGGCTGATGAAAGCTTTTACAGGAATTCTTTACTTTCTGATGTCAAGGAAAACCACTATTTACAAGTTTAAGAGCTAACATTTTAAATTTCATGTTGATAATCAATGTGGACATTATATTCAATTCAAAAATAGGTTTCTTTCTCTTTTGCACAAAAAGATTTCTTAAATACCTAACATCATGATTTCCAATTTAGGGTGATGACTAAAGAAGAGTAAAATGAAATCATGATAAACATGTTAATGCTGTATATAATTTTAGCCATAAAAGAATATTGGATGAATCTTGATGTAATTTGGATGCTAGAGAGGTTTTGGGACTCCAATATTTGAAAATTATCAGTTTTATAACATGACAATTGAATTTAAAGTTACTATTTTTTGTTTTGTTTTTTTATTTTGTTTTTTTTATTTTGTTAATAACATATCGTTCAATGTTAGTCATATACCAAATCTGTATACACACACACACACTTTATTTATGAAATGAAAAAAAAATATATTCATCATCTTCAAATAACGAAAACACAAGAAAAAAACACTGGCAAATCAAATACTGAAGTTTACTTTAAAAGATAATACCTTTTAAACTAAACCTCATCCACAATCATTTTTCACTTAGGAATTTATTTATAATTCTGTTTGTTTACTTCTTTATTTTAGGGCTTGATAAAAAATTCCAAACAATATTTTCAATGCCTTTTTTGCTTTCCTGTTAAGTCAGTCAACAGAAGTTCATGTTAATAAAAGTACTAAAATTTAAAGAAAAAAAAAAAAAAAAATTTTTTTTGGTACTTTTATTAATGTACAAATTACTAAAAAATCTGTTAAATTGTGACACATAGTTGATAACAAATTTACTCTTGATTTCATTATCATCAAGAAATAAAGAAATGACTTGTGTTGGGGACTGTTTGAACTCATTGACTATTATAGTTGCATGTTTAAATGTGACATTTTTAGTAACACTTACCCAATAAAAAGCCCAAGAGCTAATCAAGGTAGAGGGTTACTGTTTGATGTATGAGCACAAGAGAAGGCAAAAAGTGTAGTTTATAAGGTTATGTTGGAAAGATAATGGTTAAGCTTAGACTTCAAGAGGTTAAGATTGTAGTGATCAGGAAAACATCCTGTCAAGAGTTTGTTCCACAAAGCAGAAGTTCTTGTGAAGAACCTGATCAAATGGAACGTCCTTCTTATGAAGGGAATGAGAATGATTCATCCCCGAGTACATGGCATGATGGGTCTTAGCTGAAAAGGTCAAGACTGGTGGAACTAAAGAATGTAGTTCATTAAAACACTTGCCATGGAAATAGTAGTAGAGTAGCAAGTGGCTTCCAACATTTTGTTTGTGGGAAAGTGGATGTAGGGTAGAAAATAATTCATTATGTACAAGGCTGCTTTTGAACTGTATCAAGACAGGCATATGATGACTGAGCAGTTTCAGATACTCCATTTTTGATCTGATCTAGCTTTTGTAAAGATAGAGCATAACAGGAGGAGTAAGATACTTCTTGGAGTGGTACAATTATCTGACCATTTTTCCAGAATGTTTTGCAATAGATTGTATATAGTTATTCCACTTAAGTTTGGGGTGAGCTTGAGTCCCAATAGGCATTCAAAGCTAGGAGCCTCCATGAGAGAACACCCATACATCATGATAGCTGAAAGTTCAGGGTCTGTTCAGTGATTACTAGTTTTGGTTTTGAACGTATTGAATTGTACAAGCCAGTCTTTCTCCCAATGATCCACTAGGGCTAGGTCAGAAGAGAGAACAACAACCAGGTTATCCAGACTTTTGGAGGTGCACCTATAAACTGTAGTATCCTCTGCATAGATATTCACTAAGGATTGAAGTATGTTATCAGGAAGATCAATAAAGCAGAAAGAGGGTAGAATTGAAAAGAGAACCTTGAAGAATGCTGGCGTTGACCTCATAGGCTTCTGATGACTGGCCATTAACAATGAACTTCATGAACCTACCTGTTAGGAAGGGCTTTGATAATTGAGAAAACTATTCCAGTGATTTCATAGCTGGAGAGTTTATGTAGCAATCAGAGTGAAATCCATACTGGTTATTGCTCAGGAGGTTGTTCCTGTTGAGGTGTTCAACAACCTTCTTGTTGATTATAGGTTCAAAGGCGGTTAATGGGTCAATAAGCATTTACTTGCATTCTTAAAAACAAGACACCTTCCATAAACTTGGGAAGCATCTCTCTTTCAGGCAGCTATTAAACAAGTTTGCCAAGACTTTGACTTATGTACTTAAGAACAACCACTGGGATTTTATCCAGACTTTATCTTAAAGTCAAAATATTTGATAAGTCTGGAAACATCCCATGCTATGATAAAGATATTACAAAATTTGTGCTCAGCAAGAAGGGGGAAAATCAGGTAAGGGGTGGTTCTTATCATTTAATGCAGAATTAAAGGTAAAGTTAATTGTAAAGAACTTGTCTTGTCATATGAGGATGAAATAACCTCAGGACCATTTATGATAGTTGATGCTGATGCTTTGCCTCTATTTAGAATTTTATTTAAGATTTTCTAGAACTCACAGGAACTGTCTTTTGTTTTCAACCTTAGCTTGGACTGTTCATAGCTGCTCTTTGCATTTTCTTGAACTCTCTTGCAATATTTGCAGGTAATTTGGAATACAACATATTTAATTTAGTACTATATTGATTGAATTATTATAGAAGGATTAATGAAATATCTCTCTCTCTCTCTCTATATATATATATATATATATATATATATATATATATATATATATATATATATATATATATATCTCAATGCTAGCAAAATTATTATTATGAACAATATATTTTCATTACTATGTTTACAGACAGAGTACAGGAAAAGGTAAATGGTAAATTTTAAAAAAAATGATAATTATCAATGTAACACTATAAGACATTTTATAGAAAATTTATGGATAAATTTAAGTATTTTGGTTTGTATTTTCAGAACTTTCCAATCCTACTTTTTATCATTGAAATTATTCTAATATCAAACTGCAGTAGGATTATGATATAAGATTACTTTTAATAAATACAAATACATTAGAAATAATGCAAATGTTAATTTTGATAAACTAATTTGTCAATTAGATGATAATAAAAAAAAAAGTTATCTAAATTCATTACTGTTACTGACTTATTCATCTAAAAACAATTCAAAATATACATAAAAAATAATAGAAACAAATATACTAGTTTCTAGTGTATGCCAGGATGTAAAGATATCTTTCAAAATATTTTTTTTCACTAAAATGCTTACTTCAAACATGAATCATACTTTTTCAGATAAAGTTCTTATACAGGTGAAGCACATTTTTGTCTGTTCTATATCTATGTAATATTTACAGTTATACACAATGAGGACAATAGTACTGAACTTTTTTTTTTAACTCTTTACATTCCATGATCATCTTGTACATTTTTATAGCAGTGATATACACATTTATATAAAATATTTCTATTATATTGATTTCTTTAACAAATGTTATTTTATTAAGCAATAAAAATGACACCTAGGTGCTTTAACCTTTACATCAAACACATTTGAGTGATCTTGGTTAAAGTGAATTGTTTTATTTTGTGCCATGAAAATCGTAAAATGGTAACATTGATTTTCATTTCAAGACAATCATCAGCATCTATTTCAACTGATTATAAAAATCATAACACATTCTCAATATCATGTTTTGCATGCTTAATTTACAGTCAATATATACGAGTGAATGAACAAATCTTTCATGCAAATTAACCTTGAAGACTATAAAACACAAATCAAGGGTAATATATTTAAGATAATGATCACAATAACAAAAGTTTAAATAAAGGTTGTTTCTTTGGGTTTGACCTGGTGATAAAAGCAGAGAAGGTCCAATGAATATGGCTCTTCTTTTGTCACAATTGAGTACAAGAGGTTAATGCAACTAAAAGAAAATAATTATGTCTTGAAACACAATATATTACCAATATTTTTAAGTGCCAACACCCAAGTATTAAATTTGATTACATTAACAGATATGATATAATGAATATACCTTGCTATTAAAATTTCTCATACAAAGATTAATATTGCTATGACAAAAATGAATTTCATTCAAGAGATTTAAACTGCTTTTCATACTTACCTGTGTGCCATCTCTGTTTAATACCAAAGCCTTGACATTATCCCCATGACCCTTCAGCTTCATCATCTTTTGGCAAGTACGAGGATCCCATACTCGCAGAACTTTCTCTGTAGACCCAGATACAATTACTGTTCCTGGTGGATTCATTGCCAAACTATAAATGGAATCTTTATTGCCATTCAAACTGGAGGCTGCAAAAATGATTATAAGTATCTAATTATACTCCAGAACTTTATCAATAAACTTAATACAGTAAGATAAGAAAATGGCAAGAAATTATAAAATAATTTTATAACTTGAATTTATTTCTCAGTTAAGAGACAAAGACTTTCTTTAATCAAACTTTTTTGTGCTATCTATATCTACCCATATTTTTGGAACATCATTTAAGTTACTAAATTTTAAATTAATCCAAAACAAAGAATAAAAACACTATTTTAAGTATTCCTTGGAAAAAATATGATGTATTGAAGAATATCAAAAGCTTGAATTCTCTTTTCAAATATTTACATTAAACTATTTCTATAAAAAATATTTTCCACTTACTAGGAATTAAAAAGTTGTTTTTTTATTTGTTCTATGATAATCTATTTTGACAACAAAAATGTTTTGTATTTCTTATAGAATATCTGGATTTTAAGTTGTAATATGAATGAAATCATTTGAAAATCAAATGACCACAATAAATAACTCACATCAAAGTCTGAACTATTAAACATATCAAAGTAATCCTAGCATCCATTCTGCTATGAGTGTTTATCAATGTTTCTCTGTGATTTGGTTTAGCTTATAAAAAAACTCTATACCTAGACTGTCCTTCAAGAGATAGCACATTGTTACTATATCTATTGTCCTGAGGGATCCCAAGGCATCTCCTAGTGCCTGTAGTGGATATTTATTTTTGAAAACACTTTTATTTATTAAATACTAAATGTAGATTCTAGTATTTAATGAGATATTAGAAAGTGATTATTGCTTTCAAAGTAAAAGTGATTGACTAATGATGAGATCATATGTGCAGATTGCAAGTACAGTCTGAGAAAAAGAAACATAATATTAATAAACCTTGAACAACTGATATATGAAGAGGTACAATAACTCAAACTGACACTGACTCTTTGAAGAAGTTTCAATTTGTGTATTGGTATGACAATTTTTGGTAACAAAAAGTTATCAATTCTTATTTCGACATAAAAATCTTCTAGAAAAAACAGGACACATGTAAAAAGGATTAAATTAAGTGAAATAGCCTAGTGGATTAAAATGTTGGTTCATGAATTTAGTGACATCATAATAGTGAATTTAATCCCAGGGACAGGTAGCTCAAACTTAGTGGAAACAGGGTGGGCAATAATTGAGCAGTACTACATAAGAAAAAGACAATATATCCCTAGACATGGAGAACATACCAGGAACGATATATTCCTGTAGATTAAATAAGGGTTTCAATTCAAAATTCCCTGAAGAAGCTCAGATGGCACAATGGTCAAAATGTCATGATAACAACAAAAATAAGGACAACAGTCTGAATGAAAATAACGTAAATAAATGAGATATGCTTTCTAGACAAAGAATTTTAGCATTTAGCAGATTGTTTCCAAATAAAATTTACAGTATAAATATGAAATAAAGAAATTCAAACTTTCAGAATTTCTATTAGATATAAAAAATTTTAATCATATTTCTAAAAATGGAATTTGATCTTGCAGATTAGATATTTTGTTCAACATGTTCACAGAATTCTAAATGGTTATTTAATCTATTTAATTAAAGAAAAATATTTGCAATTTATCATAGTTGTTTTCTCAAATTATTAGTAAACTATAGTTTGACTAATAACTGATATTAATTTCATTTTTAATTTGAATTTTAGTAAAACTTTCCCAGTAGTATTTGTGATAAATATATCAAGTAAAAATAATCAGCTATTAATAAAACAAAATAAATAAATCTAATTATACATTATAAAATTACTGTTAGATATTAAAATCCTTATTTTCCTTCACAAGTGCAGATTAAACATTCAATTGCAATCCTGTCCAATACCTTATCAAATTTTGCAATTTTTTTTCCTAGTATTACACTGAGAGTGAAAGAATCTGGGAAAAACCTTGAGTATAAAGGACAATAAAAGAACAGAATTCAAAAATACAGATAACAGCAAATGTCAAATTTAAATTTTTGAAATTGCCAGGAAGGCATGAAGCCAAAAAAAAAAAGCATTCCTCAGATGAGAAGTACAAGAGAAGAAACTATTAGAATAGAACTTATTGCTATAGACAGCAATTTCAACAGTAAAATGAAGAAACCTAGCTGCTAATCTAAAACTATGCTTAAATTCAAAGGCAATTTATCTGAACAAGCTTAAAAGATGAAATTTTAAATTTTAGTATTATGATTTAAAATAGTAATTCTTATAAAGATATAAAATAAATATGATTAAACATTGTTGGATATATCCTAAAGGAATGAGACTATAACACACCACTTCCATTTTGTCTGCTTCTGCACATCAAAGTATTTTGAAAAGATAAACTGATACACTTCTAGCAGGATGCTAAGTACATGCATCTTTATACATAGTGAATTACCAACATACAATGAAGATAAATTTTTTTCATAAACTCATTTAAATTTTATTCAAAATATTTATTTCATTGTTAAAAGAATATATGTCAGTTGTACTTTGAAATATTTTACTGTCCAGATCTTAGATCTCTTTATGCCATTCTTGAAGTGCACAAATCAAAGTATGGAAGCATGGTGAGATAACATTAAATGGGGGCATTGAAAAGTTCTCAGCCTAACCAAGAAGGGAATTCAAATGTTTGGTTAGAATTTAGAAAGGTGATCAGGCCAACAACATTTCAGTAGCACCTCCTCATACATACTGATTCTATTTTGTTGGCAAATAATATTTGTCAAAAGAAAAATGTCAAAATTTATAATGCTACTCCAAGTTGGAATCACATAATTACTTAGAGAATAGAAACACATAACTGAAACAATAGCAATAAGATATTAAAAAGTGTATTTTTATTTTGTTTCAAATAAATTCTTTGAATTAAAAAAAACATAAAAGCGAATATAAAACAATGCTCAGACATGGAAAAACAAAAATGTAAACCTTAACTGCAAAAACACAAGATTACAAATATAAAAGATGAATGTGAAATTGATGCTAGTATAACTCACTGGTGACAGTATTGTTGGATGCTGTGAGAGCAGTCAGTGTATTCACATCCCAGAGAAAGATTGCTCGATCAAAACCAGCAGATGCCACTTGTTCCCGATCCTTCGCATAGGCAAGTGCTTTCACATAATCCTAAAAGTAAGACAAAAACAAAATCATAAAGAAATAAGCACAAGACAATGAGCAAAACATTTGCTTAGCAATTGATTAGATAAGCTTCACTACACCATCACGTTTTGTGCTTAAGTTCAAGACTAAAATCTTAACCTTTGAGAGAGTTTTTCCATAAGCTTTTGCAGTAAAACTGCTCCATGGATTTTTGATGTCACATAGAAATGGCAGCATCATCATCCAAAATCTATTTTAGATGTATATTTGTTCATGACAGCAATAATCTTGGGAGGATAATATGTTTATTTAGTGACAAAGTACCTGTCTTTTTCGTGCAAATTGCAGCATAAATCATCATCTAAGCAGGCTCAAATAAGCTTATAAATAACTTATTAAAAGGTAAACTAATAACGCCATCAAATTATCAGGGCAAAAAAAGACATGCAAAAATTAGTATTAAAAATATCATAAACCTACAAAGCTTAGAATGTGAGCTTGGTCAAATTATATGTTAGGTTTTAAAGTCTCAGCTTAATGCATCAGTAAATAAACTAGCCAAACCTAACATTTCAAAAAGCTACGGTTTTTCAGTCATTAACCAGTTTTGTTAAATTAAAACTGAAAACCTCCAGTGATATGTAAATAGTTGCATTTTTAACATAAAGGTGCTTATGAAGTTTTTTGCAGTGTTCAAAGCCTTCATTGGCATTTTAACCCATTAATATCAACTATCCCACTTTTAGGATGGTAAGCATTAATTTGTTACAGGGTGAAAACCACAATACTGAATTTTTATTTATGATTTTTTTTTTTTTTATTTATTTTTTTTTTTTTTTTAGAAACCTATAATTAAAATCTTAATTTTTTTTTTAAAGAAACTAATAATTAAAATCAATATTTTTTTTTGTTTTTTTTCTCAAAAAACCTATTGGATATATGGGTGATGTAATAGATATCACCTCCGAATAAGAAATTGGTGAACAGAGTTCAAATTCCAGTCAAGCTCATTACAGTCACTTATGCACAAAATACCCTTGGGAAAGGTATGAATCAATCTCTTCTCCCAGCCAGCACTCTTATGGGTTAAATAGTAAGGCAGACTGGGTTCTTTAGCCATGGTTAGTAACCAGCCCAAGAGACAGACAACTGTGAATTCAAAGCTGGTTGGGCATGGAGGCTTGCAACTACATCCTGTAAAAACCTACTACTTGCTATGGAAACCATAGTATCAACAGCTAGCATGCCAAGAGCTATAGCCCCATGCTCCACAGGGAGTCTACAGGACTTGTGTGAGGGAGTGAGAAACCTACAATACTAGATTTTTTTTAAAACCTTTAATACTGATTTTTTTTTTTTTATCAGAAACCTATAATACCAAACTTTACAGTGGGCAACAATAGGTTGTTATTTTTTGATATAATAAAGTTTTATTTTATATTGCTTATGACTATGTTTTATTTATAGCTATACAAAAACACTTGTTTAAGATTTCAACTAAAGCATTTTTTTTCTTCAAAGTGAATTATGGTCAAGTAGTAGGAACCAAACTTTATACTTTGCAGCTTACAAATCGTCTGTGACTAATTTTGAATTGAATATAAATTTATAAAAAAATATGTGTAAAAATCAAATCAATTAAGAGTATTTAAAATTTTTTGTTCATAATTGATTACAAAAATGACAAAGAATTAGTAAAGTAGTTTAAAGAAAGTATTGATTATAAAACAATTTCTAAATGGTTTGAAGTCAGAAGGTAACAATATTGAATTCTGGAAACTGTACTTACTTTGTGTGTTCTTAATGTAGACATACAAAAGCCTTTGTATGCATTCCATACTTTCACAGTTGTATCACTTGACGCTGATATTACTGTAAAATATATAGCAAAATGGTTAAAACGCCATAAACATTTTTTAAATTTTATTCATACTCAAAACAACCATAGCCTATATAGTTTCAGAAAATAGTGTATACAAAAATTAACCATGAAAATATAGAGCAATAACTGATTTCCTATTTAATAAGTAGTATAAATGATTTAGTGTATAACTAATTTTTTGACATTTATCTTTTGATCTCAACAAAAGATAACAGCAACAACATTTGAACATAAATGTGTAATCCCAAAATTCGAAAAAAAAACAAAATTAGCTTTATATTTTTTTTTAATTTTGAAGCTAAATGTTTTAAAAAATAAAAACAAGTAACACAATCTTTTCACTTCAACCTGGGCATATATCAGTTAAGAAAAAAAATGTTATTTTCAAAAATTTTATTGAGACATTTATTCTTCAGTTGCAGAGATATCACATCATTAACTTATTAGCTAAAACATTTTCTAGAGGGCAATGTTTCTACTGAATCTGTGTCAAATATGTTGAACATTAAATTAGTCTTTCAAGTGCAACAAGCACAAAACTATATCCAGTGTAATTCTAGAAAAATGGAGAATTAAATAAAAAGAATAACAGAATTAGCAAGTGATTAGGAGATTGGCTTGGTATATTTTACTCAAGAATTGACTATAATAAAGCATACTAAATATCTGCCACCATGTTTTAATATATTAATAATCACAGTGGCTGCTACTACAATTGTAAGAAAGTTCTTTAAGATTGTAATGTTAAGATATAAACAGTACATTTATAAAAGATAGTAGCAGCGGAAGCATAACTACTAGTCAATAATATTACTACTACTATAGTAACTAGTAATTTGACAAGTAAAATGCACCAAATCACACTAGTAAATGTTATCAAATAGACAAGCAAAATTTTGATTCTATGGCTTGTGATTTGAGAAAAAAATGATTGAAAATGCTTCTAAAGCAATTTATCAGTATAAATAGGATATGCCTATAAATATGCCAAGGGATAATTTCTCCCTGATCCTAACTGCAGAGTCACCACCTGTATCAACAATAATTTTTCTCATTAAACCTGGAGTATTGACTGAGTTGAGCATAATCACTTACTATTTTCCAGATCTTCTTTAATGACTTCTACTTTACAGCTAATTCTAGCCAGTCATTTATTTTTGAATCTTCCTTCTTCTTAATCCATTCCATTAAACATGATGAAATATTTAAACGGAAGCAAATATGTTGGCCATTCTATACCCACTATTTGTTAACTATGACACGTCTAATGGACAACTGTCATGAAATCAGAGCAATAAAATCAAAAACATTCAAGTGATATAGCTACCAATATTACAGCTTTTATGATTAAAGAGCTAAGTAACAAATAACACCTTCAATCCATTTAAGACTTACATGTTACTTCATAACAAATGAAATAAGGAAACACTAACCAAATAGTAATACACAGTTTATGTCCCTGTGTCCAATGGCATCTCTATGTAGCCTGTTTGCAGAAATAACCAGGACTATATCAAAAACAGAGTTGTTTTGTTTTTTTTAACCCTAGCATAAGGTTTCTGCTATTAAACTTAAGTCAGTCTTACTTTGATTAAGTATTCAAGTATTACTTTTCTGAATCATATACACTGCATTAATATGTATTTTCAACCATTCTCATTTCTTCCCAATGAAGTATGTCCTATATAGACTTTTGCTCATTAATGATTGTCATTAGTTTAACTTGTACTGACCCTGTCATAATCAATATCAGAATGTTTAAATCAAACACCAACTATTATTTTATCCTTAGTAAGTGAGAAACTATAATAGTACTATACTTTGCAAATGATGAAATAATTCTTAATATAGACATAGATACTACAAGCAAATCTGCACAGGGAGAGACTGACACCATTGAGTAATGTAGTTAACTTTAAAAAGTAATATCACTAGAATTTGATATTTTATTCAGAAAAATGACTAAGCAATATATTACAATTTCTTTAATGATTTATGAAATGTAAAATGTAATTTACTCAAATTTCAATGTATGCTTACCTCAAATCAAAATAATCCTTTTAGTTACAATTTAGTAAGTAAAAAAAAGTGTAATTTACATTTTCTTTCTTCAACTATCTTAGAAATAGAACTCACCATTTAATAAAAAAAAATCACAACAGAAATAACAAATGTTTAACTCCTTATTCAAACAAAGTGAAATTTAATTTATATACTAATTAACTTAATTCAGTCTGTATTAAAAAAAGATTTTTAAATGTTCATCTTGTCTCTTAAAATTACTGATAATTCTCAGAAATTTTTATTTATTATAAATTTTATGTATAATATTCCTTATTAGAATAAATTCAAATATACTTAATAAAAGAAAATTAGCAATAGCTAACTTGATTACCAATATAAAATTTTATTTTATTTTATATGATACTACTTTGATAAATTAAACTGGAACCTAAAAACTAAAATATAATTTAAAAAAAATTGCTATTTGTTTTAAATACAAATCTTAAAAAGTACATATTTATTTGCCAACATACAGGTGTATGACCAACATTTCATTTGCCAAAGTAAACGCTTATGAAGGTTTGCTATTTACAAGCAACCTTAAAAATTAGTCAACATCAATAACTGTCTTTTTTATTTTCAAAACTCTGAACACCTGAGACAAATATAAAAGTGTTTATCAATGGCCTTTTTTGTTTTTGTTTTTTTTTTGCAAAATTTACAATAAAGATAAGTTTTCCTACATAGAGAAGGTATTTACATAAATAAACCTTTTCATTGATTCAATTTTACTTATTTTCTTAGGTTCCTTTTCTGGACATTAAATAATGAAGACCTACAAAAGCATTAAAATATTCTAATTTGAATAACTGCATTATCTGAGAAATATGCAAACAATAAGTATTTTTGCTTCCTCATTTAAATAACTATGTTTAAGAGTCCTGTCTACTTTTTTGACAAATCCATCAACAACATAGATATGTCTAAATAATCATATACATTTATCATTATGAGGGTAACTTTTCCATCTGGCAATTCATTCTATCATACCATGTTTGCTACTTTATGTGAATCCTAACCAGCCATGTAAGTATTGCACTTTAATCAACTTAATTATAGGCCTGTTTCATCAATTCAGAGGCTTTCTCATCGCAAAGTGGCAAGGCATATGTGGAAAATCAGAAATCAATGGATTTTAAATTAGCAAGTAACAAAATAGAGACTCCAACATACACAATCCACCAAATCATTTGAAAATTACAAATATGAATTGTCAGGTACTGTATATATATATATATATATATATATATATATAGAGGAACAAAAATCAAACTCCTTACAAATGTTTGAAATACATGGTACATATAACTTTCAGGACATGGGCAATCATGGCTCACCACATTTTATGTTGTTATCAATGTTACTGAAGGATAAGAACAAATATTATGACAATTATATAATTGAAACTTAACTACTTTCCAAGATATAAGATTGTATTTTCATGTACTCTTTAATATAAAGTACAATATGACTAATCACTTAAGACATTCCATTGTCATGGGAATAGGAAGCATTACTCAATGCCAATACACAAACAAGACTCATTTTACCATAACAACGGAATATCTCATTTATAAGCAGTGAAAACAATGTATTACTTTTTATTAGCTTAATTTTCTTTATTTTTACTTTTAACGATTTAAAAGCAGAATTCTTTCTTACATGTAATAATAGCAGTGTAGATAAAAATCCTAAATTAATCATGAAGAAAATAAACAATGCAATTACATGAAAATGTTGTTAATTTCTTAGATTTGTAGGCTACCCAAGCTTATATATATATTTAAAACACAGAGTTAGTTATGTATATAAGAGTAAGAAAAGTTCAATTATGATAGACAAGTGAAAGGAGGTTAGAGAAAAAGTAAAGGAATTGGCAGCTGATACTAAAGATAACAAGATGAACAGAGATAGTGAATCAAAGCAAAACAAACACAAGATGGGTAGAAAGAAAAGGATACACACACACACACGTTTTCATATATGTGTATATACAGGAATTGTAAAGGTGAATAGTAGAATGAAGTGTGTAAGTGTGAATAGTAGAATGAAGTGTGAAGAAAATACTTACAGGTCCTTCCACTGCAGCAGAGTACAACATCATTAACCCAGTCTGTATGATGTTCCATAGATTGAATATATGGATCCTACAATAAAACAAATCTATTCTTTGCCATCAATATTACATATTTCAAAAACATTTATTTTCTTCCTCTGATGATTCTTGATTAAAAGTTTGACTTTCAAGGATATTTATTTAGTTTTACTTCATTCCAAGGAATGAAGTTGCTTTGGCAACAATCTTTAACAAAACATATGAGAAGGTTACCAGATTGATATACACCTGAGGAAGGCTGGAGTGTATAACAGCTAAAATATTGTGATAAGAAACAAGAAAGATAAGGACAATAGTCTGAATATAAATAGTGTAAATAAGAAATTTACTCTCAAAATGCTTGGAATATTCTTATAATTTGCATATAAGTAAAATAAAAAATATAATGTCTTTTGATTTGGGGTCCTTTAATTTAGTGGAATATGGGGGACATGACTTGTGATGTACTGACATTATAAAGGGATATACACCAAGGGTGATTTTGAAATCTGATGATAGTCATGACTTCTTTTATTCTAACCATATACAAAGGAAATTGGGATTAATGTAAGGTTTGCTTATAAACTTAAGATTGACAACTGCAATATTTAAATTAAAAAAAAAAAACTTTCAGCAGTAACAAATAATGGACACAAAGTCCAAAGCCACAGAACATATAATCTTCAATTTTATACAAAGTTATATCTATAAAAGTGATCAATTAAAACACTAAATCATTGTGCACTATGAAAATAAATTTATTCAATATATAAGTGAAATTATTACTGCTACAACTATTACTAAATATATAGTGTTATCAGATACATGAACATCCTTTCATTTTTTAATTCATTAAAACAGTCGCCAAGATTATCTGGGTCTACCACACAACTTATGAATTTTACCTGGAATCACTTTATGGAATCATTTACTAAAGTGAAAGCTTACTACATTCATGGTTTAGTGAAACCATCTTTAAAAAAAAAAAAAAAAAAAAAAGAAGATTTTTGTTCTTTAATGTGGAATAATTTTTTTTCCTGACTACAAGTGAATCAAATATTCTATGAATGAACTTAGAATCAGTAATGTTTAAACCCAGTCCATTGGCTTTGGTGGCCAAACATCAATAAAAATAACATTGGCACATGAACAACTGATGCTGCAAGGAAAAGCCAACGCAAGCATATCAATCCAAAGCCAAACTGTAGAGCAATCTATAATTGTTCTGCCAAGTTCTCAGAGTTCCAAGATGGTAATCTCTACGACATTACACAACCACCTCAAAAACAGGATGGCCTGGGATATTGATTTTTAGAGAGAAATGAACTCAAAGCATGCTTATATATTTAGCCGCATCTGATAAATAGCCACAGCATAATTTTGTAAATCAACCCTTTTCATTAGGCAACTTCCATAGCAAAACAAAGAATGCAATGAAAAATGGCTAAAGGGTAAAATAAAAGTATATATATATATATATATATATCAATGAAAATCTTAGAAACAAAATGACAGCTACAAAATAACAGTTAATTTGTCAAATTTGAAATGCTTTTTTTTCTTCTCTCCTTCGGCACCAAGTTTGATTACAAGTAAAATTTTGTGTCTGGTTCAGTAATGTTTATGAAGTAATAAACTGAGTCTGTTCTGCTCTGATCAATGCAAAAGATTTGCTCACAAAAATCAATAAATCATCAACCTAATGTTAAAGCAACAATTTGATGTGCGCCAAGGGTGCATTGTATTCAACAAGGCACAAAATAGTAGGATCAAGTTTTTCTAGGTCTAACGAACATATTCTTAAGTTAGATCTGCAATATACTGAAAATATGAATCACTTAAGCAACACTGAATATTGCTACAATTGAATGGATGACTAACCAAGAATAATACACATTACAAGAAAAATCTTGTGCATATTGTCTAAAGCTCCGAGAGGAATCAGTGTCATTATTTTCCAAGTTATTTGAATTAGTATTATAACCTTTGCAACAATCTAAATAACTTGTGTAATTACCTGATGCATTTTCTTTTCAAACTAAAAAAGTTAAAATCTGAAAATCTGGCATAGGCAAAGATGAATTATTTGTATGTAAGTTTAAGCCTTTAACTTACATACAAATAATTTTTTTAAAAATCTCAAAAAAAACTTTTCCTAGTTTCTACTTAAATGAAATATCACTTAAAATTTCCATCAATTTTATTCATCTTTAGTTAGAAAATTTGTAGATAACTGATTTATATTTATTGAAATGTTGAGCCTCTTCTTTCACCAAGTCTGAAATTGATTGGTTGTACTGAAGATAATCTTAAAAAATAAATTGTGTTTGCTTAGACAGCACTGCCAGTTCTAAGTAGTACATGACTTGGCTCAATAGTGCTTAAATGACAATCAAATGAGAAGATTCCAATTTGAGATGTTTAGAATTATAACAAACTATTTTGTATATATTCAAATTTCTAAAATAAAACAAAAAAATCAAGATTCAATTAATTTAATTAAATGAAAAGAGTAAATTTTTATATACTTTCAAAACAGTCAGATGTTTAAAAGGGACAAGTTAAAGAGAAATCATTGATCTATGATTAATTTTTAACATTCTGCAGGATTAAATATTTTTCTTTACTCTATTTTACATAAATGACACTGAATAAACATTTATTTCTTTTATGAAAGTCTTTATCCTCAAATTCTCACTATGTAACACACACACACACGTGTGTGTATATATATATATATATATATATATATATATATAATCATTTATTTGAAAATTATGACATAAAAATGTTATAAAATGACAACAAAAATAGCCATTTTGTTTCAACACTTCTGGTGTCTTCTCAAGTGATGGTGTTGAACTACATTCAACACCATCACTTGAGAAGACACCAGAAGTGTATATGTTAGATAGCTTTTTAATGTTACTTTTGCACCATTTTTAACATTTCTAATATTTATTTCTCAACTTTTATACAGTTATGTACTTAACAATAAATGTAATAATCAAATTTGAAAATCAATTCTATATTCTGTACATTATTTCAGTTTGAATATAGTCAATAAAGTACAAGTAAAATTTTATTTGATTGATTTTGAAGAAAAAGAAAACAATCATGATCAAAGTTTTCAAAGAAAGTATAATACGGACTGGTTGGATTTTAAAATTTTTTTATTTTATGAGATTTCATAGCATGTCAGGAAAGTCGCTAAGTAAAGTCTTATCATGTTGTACACTTTTATGAAATTTTTAAACAAACAAAATATGCATAATAATAAAATTGATTTTATTTAACTTTTGTTGAAATTTCAGAAACCAATGTAGGAAAAAAAATATAATACATTTTTATAGGTTTTATAAATATACACATGAAATGACAGCAGTTTACTTTTAATTTTTAAATTATGACATTAAAGGGAAAAGTAAAAAGACTCATGAAAATACTAATTTTATATATTAAATGATTGTTTAGATCTATGACTAGAAAAAAATAAAAAGTTTAAGGTTTATATTTGAATTCAATGATAAACAGATAAAACAAGCAAATAAATCAGACATTGTGTAAGAAGCATACTTAAAAAGAGATTCTGTAATCCAGTGTGAATGTGGGGTACACTTGGCACTGAGTGATTATCTGTTTGTCTTACCCTATTGGAATTAGCTCTAGTGTTCCATATTCGGATGATGGAATCACGCCCAGCTGAGTACAATCGATTGAGGACGGGATCATACTGCAAAGCATTAACTCCAGAGCGATGGTAGCGTTCAACTTCATCTCGGATTACAAAAGAAACCTGCAAAAGCAAAAGGAAAAGAATTTTTAAAATATTTTCTCTCTCTCTCTCTTTTTCAATAAAATACACACAAACCTTACCAAACATATCTAGAGAAAAAACTGATTTTTTTTTATATTTTTTTCTACTTAGATGAAATATTTCACTGCTTAATTTTCACAAAGATTTCACATAATTTCAATATAAAGATGAAGACATTACTAAAGTTTAATTACATTATAAATGAAGACTAATAATAATTTCTTCTGTAAACAATGAATACATTAAAGACAATGTTGAACTTTTAAAATTCCAAGTCATCATCAAAAAGGTGCTGAAAAGTTCTAAGCTTGACCAAGAAGCCCTTAAAATCAAAAGTTGGTTGTGCTAAGAACTTTTCAGCACTAACTTATACATACTATTTAAAGAGAGATTTTATAGGTTATTTGATTAATTTGGATTATGTACAATTATTTGTTTTAGTGTAAAAAAAAAACAAAAAAAAACAGCAAGATGAGGAACGGTTTATGCTATTAAAAGAATATTTTAATAATGAATTTTTGAGAATTGATATATTATTTTTAGTTTAAATTTTTTCTATTTAATGCAGTTTCTAAATGATGATAAACTCAATTATCAAGGTGAAATGATATGCAGATAATTTTTTGTTCATCAGGACAGCTAAAGTCTTCCTCTAAAGAAATGAATTCTAACTCATCCTTAATCTCCTGTAACTTCTTACTTTCAAAGAATAACTGAAAACATCATTAATTTTACATTACTGAATATGTCCATTTCTTTATAAACTTTTATTTAAAACAAATAAAACAAGTAAATTATAAGAAATACAGAAAGATTATTGAAAAAAAAAAAAAAAAAAGTTTTCAGTGATTATTAGTTTTTGTTCTGCTGATTAATGTGTAATTATAGGTAAACTAGTAAATAATTATGCAGTTTTATATGTTATTCACTTTATGATGTCCCACTAAAAAATCTCAAAATAATTTTGTCCATATAATAATGCATAACAACATTGGTTATTCTTAAAGCACTGAGTAAATTAAATAAAAGACAAGTAAAAATAATGGTTTAGCCTATTAGATACATTTTATATACAATGATTCATACAAACCTAAAAGTGAGTAACAGAATATACTAAAATATCAATATTAGCCTGTAAATCATTAAACTACAAAGTCATAAGCAAGTATTCTTAAAAATATTAAAACAAACTATTAGTAATCAATGTGGTTTTCCTCAGACTAATTTTCTCATCAATATCCTAGAACACAACAAATGCCTATGGAAGGCCAGAAGTTACATGTCCAAAACATGAAAAAATAAAAAAATAAAAATGAGGAAATAAATCTGATGAAAATCAGAAACAAGGATTAAAATATCTTGTCTGACAAAATTCAGACAATCTTTGTTTTAATTTTTAATGTTTTAGCAAGAAAATAATTTTGAAAGATTAACCCAGAATTAAATTGTTTATAGTTTAGTTCAAATGCGAGAAAGTTATACAATACTTTTCTTACAGAATTTCTGCTTTACATAGGATAAAAAATTTTAAACATTTTCACAATCCACTAAAAAAAAACAAAAAAAAACATAAAAAATAAAAATAACCCCAAAATTTGATGTGATTATCCAAAGTTGTAGGAAAAAGAAAAGAAGAAAAAAGAAAAGAAACATACTCTTTAAAAATTAATCTCAAAAGCATGTCATGCAACTAATCATTGCAAAAATATTTTCCCATAGAAACTGGTCAGATAAATGTAAATATAATTTCTGTATATCTTAATAGGAAATCTTTTTTTTAACTACAACAATTGTACATATGGTTGACAAAAAATGTAATGCCAAGAATTGCAACAAAAATAAGCATGAGTCTGGAAAATCTAATAATTTTTTTAAATGTAAAAAAAATTATTTGGAAAGCCAGCATTTATGACTATAAGAATAAATCAAGTTAAACATGTACATAAAAAAAGCAAGATGGAAAAATTTAATGAAAAAATATATATATATATATGACTCAACCAAATAAAATATCAGTTAACTTATAAAGAATCACTAATAAATAGGTAATAAGAAATAAAATAAAATCTTGCATAATTTAAGTGGAAAATATATTTGCAGGAACAAAGTGTAATAAACACATTTAGCATCAAAGAAAAAAATGTTTTAAGTACTAAAGCAACTATGATTTGGCTTTTCCTGAGAATTGTAAAAAAAAATAAAAATAAATTTCATTCTCAATTTTTATATACTAGATGAAACTTCCAAGTTACTAACAACTTTATTAAAATTTGTATGTTTTTATATATACATATAAAAGTAAATGAGAATTCTTAAGCACATTTTTTCAATACTATATACATATATACACTGTCTCCTCCAAACATGTGACAACATGAATGACAGCCTTATTTTTACAACCTGTTTCTTTAGCTACTTTGTTTTTATAGGGAAGAGACACTGGTCCCTTGCCCAACATTCTCTAAGAGATGATTGGAACTAGTTTCTATGACATTTTTTTTTTTTTAGCATGGTCAGATATATTTGAGTTTAGAGTATATTAGCCTCAAGAGTCAAGCAATATTTTGTTTTCAATTATAAGAATAATGTTCATACTTATTATTATTTAATATATATGATGTCAAAATTTGTTATTAATGATTTTCTAGGTAAAGGGGGTTACAGAAAAATCTAAGAAGTAAAATTATTTCAACTAAAAACTGGTAAAAGTGCCATTTTTATCTTAAAGAGATTGGTGTATCATGAAAAGTTAATTTAAATTGTCAATCTATTTTCAGAAATGTACTTTTTAATTATTTATTTGTATGAATTATTTACAAGATATTGCTAATATGAGTGTATATAATACATAAAACTTTACACAATTTGTTATGTGTCAAAATTAATTTTCCTTCAATTGCTATGGGAAGATGGTCAATTTTCTAAAAAAGTAAAAATACATGAACCAAATCTGTAGACTTTATCATGAATACACAGATACTGGAAATAAATCACTATATTTGTTTTACTTTTTATAAATGTAAAAACTGGAGTTGCTTAAGTAAAACATACTAAGATTTGTGAACTAGATTTGACAATAAGATGAAAAGATATTTCCTTTTTAATGTTACTAAGTGCATTAAAGTATATAAATTATTTCTTGAGTAAAGTTGTATTTTACATTCATATGACAAGTTTATTGTTTGGAGCAGAGAGAGAGAGAGAGAAAGGCCAATCTATTCTTCCAATTTCTAATTGATTTGTAGGTGAGAAATAAGTAGTTTTGACTTGTGCACAATAACTTACATCTGGCAATGGTAAGAATTTGATTTCTTAAGAAACAAATAGACAAATACATGCAATTTTGATTATAACTCTTGTGCTTACATAAATGTAACAATTATTAACATAAAGAATTAGTTTTAATCACAGTAACAATAATATATTTATAGCAAATTGAACTGCAAAGAATTTAATCTAAATGCATTTCCTGACCTAAATATACTGGTATATCATTCCTAATAAAATTTTTAAAAATAAATCATTAAAAATAAATGAAAAATAGTATAAAAGGAATCTGCTAAGATATTTTGTAAAAAAAAAACTATTCTGATAAAATAGTTTTCTACTTGATATGTAATTGTCAGCACAAAATCAGTTACTCATAACTATCTCCAAAAATAAAAATATGCATAAGGAGACAGGAATCAACACTTTCTTATTGATGAAAGCTTAGCAAAATCAATAAATTAGTCAAATTCAAAGCAAAGATTTAGTATCCTCACTGAAAATAGTAATCATTAAGTAACCACTCTACAGATTTCTTGTATTTATCTACCAAAACATGCATTCTTCAGTCTCTCTTAAAGATCACAGTAAACAAGAAATCTGCTTCTTACTCTATGTGTGAAATATACATAATACATTTGTTTAAAAAGTTAAAAATTAAATTCTGTAATTTTTCTCCAAATTACCATTTCAGTCCTTCAGGCAGGTGATTCAAAGTGAAAAAAAACTGCTTTGATTCTAATAACAGTAGTTTTAATGAAGCTATCAGTTCTTTCATTTCCATAACGTAGAGTAATAGTAAAAAAAAAAGATAAGGTTGAACAAGTTTTCCCAAAATACAAGTTTAATTCTTATTCATCACTTCTAAAATCCACAAGTTTGAACTTCAATCTTATATGCAAGATTTAATCCCCAAATATTCTTAGAAATGCATCAAAGCTAAAGAAAAGAGAAGAAAGGCTTTATTTGGAACTAGAGCAAAGTATATATTTTCTCAAGTAGTTATTAAAATGCAAACATAAACATGCAATATGGCACAAAGCTCCACAAAGATGAAGTAACATCAAATCTAAACATTAAGATGTTGTAGTCTAACCAAAAAAGAAATTTTCTAATGCCCAACAAATTAAAAATATTCACATATAAAATATTATCATTAATTTTCTTTGGTGGGTAGGGGGAGTATTTTTTTAAATTTAGGAAGAAAAAAAAGGCATAAAATAATATTCTAATTACTAACATTTATTCTGATCATAAACCAATAAGTAGTTTCATGGCCTTGTTCAATATATTTTTTCATTTCAATTCTAATACTAAAATTAAGGGAAGCTATAAATAGAAATAAAATGAACTTTATCCATAACACATTTCTGAATGACAGCATGAAGATTATTCAACAAAGCAATACAAATATGGATCATTTTGAGTGCTGCTTGTGAGCAGTCATGTAGACAATATTAAAAAGTTCCTGAAGGCAAGGAAAAAAATTAAAGCCATATAATATTTCATGGATAAAAAAAAAAAAACAACAAAAAAAAAACTGCAAAAATTTATATAACTCACACTGAAGTTCAGAGAGTTATCTGCAAGTTTAGAATTAAAATCTAATTCATAATGCTCCATCAGTTTCAATCTGGAGAAAGTCATGGCAAGAAGTTACTTTGAATTTAAAAATAATATTGTTTTGCACTTTAAGTTAAAACCTAGGTATA